TCCAGCTCGGAGGACGCTCGGGGCGCGTTCTCTTCGGCGCGGTCCTCTGTCCTCGCTGCTGCCTGCGTGACGACCCCGCGCCTCACAACACTCCTCTGTCGCCGCGGCTGAGCTGTGTGCCCCCCTTTCCGTCCTCCCCGTCCATTCTCAGGCTCTTCCCCCATTTACCTCTGGCCTCCTGCCCACCTGGCCCTGGTTCCCGAAGCTCTGTGACCTCTTCGCACTTTTGTCTCCTGCTCATCCGGCCCCGTCGGTGCCACCAACCCAACCCTCTCTGATGGTTGCCCCCTCTTCTCCGCCCCCTACGGACCCTCCCTCATGTTCTCTGAACCAGGCGACAGCGTCCTCTTCATACCCTTGTAAACTACAATTACTGCCGGGCAGTGCTCAGACTAAGCACGCTGTGTGTGTTTCTTAGCTGACCTGGGCCGACTTACATGGCGAGACTTTTCCTCCTGGCCTCCCCAGCACGTGGCTCTCGTTACCCCCACCCCTCGTTCAGGGGAGCCGAGGGAGAGTCCAGAATTTCCAATTATTTCCCTACGGGAAAGGAGTTGTCTCGCTGCCCCGAATGTGCTGGTGCCTCAGCCATCAGGTCGCTGTCCTGGTAGTTTCCACTCAGTTCCGTGGACTGATTTGTTATCTCGGCCCTAAAGCTGAGGTTTACTAGTTCGCTGATGGGGGTGAGATCTTGGCGACCGAGTTCTCCTGCATTCAGGCCTTCGGGAGTCCAGGGAAGTCAAGGGCGAGGTATTAAACCCGACCACAAAAGGTAGAACTGCCAAGAGGACTGCGTCACTCAGGGCTACCAGTGAGTGCTTTTGTTTTTGTTTTAAAATTCTTAGTAGAGTCCCATTAAAATCAGAAGGTTGTTCAGTGAATATAAAGTCAGAGAACATCAGCAGAAAGAGTTAGAAGGCCTTATTTATTATTTTTTAATTTTTAAAATATGTTTTATTGATTTCAGAGAGAAACATCCATAATGAGAATCATCCATCGGTTGCTTCCTGCACGCCCCCTGTTGGCGATCGCCCGCCACCCAGGCGTGTGCCCCGACTGGGAATCCAACGGGACCTCCTGGTTCCTAGGTCCGTGCTCAGCCCCTGAGCCACACTGGCCAGGCTGGAAGGTCTGAAAGGAGATGTCTTTCAAGCCATCGCTGGCTAATGCATTTCTGTTTTCCCCCAATCAAGAGACCCTCATCATTTGCGTATTTCCGCACACACATTAAAGGAAATCAAGAAACAACCTCTTTACATAATCTATCATCCCCTTTCTTTTTCTCTGCTTTGAAGCAGTGGGTGCTGTCCCAGAAACTTGGAAAGCCCAGTGGTTTGGTCTTCAGCTGGGCAGAGCAGAGGTCAGTGACAGGAATACCAGCCCGCTCACAGGGCCAGCACTGGGCTCAGGGGAAGTGCATACCTGCAATCCTGCCAGGGCCCGTATGGAAAATGTGGACTCCCAGGCCATGCTGACTGAATCGGAATTTCATAATTTGGTGCCTGGAATCTTCATTGTTAAGTCCAAGATGATTTTTAAAAAAATATATTTTATTGATTATTTACAGAGAGGAAGGGAGATAGAGAGTTAGAAACATCGACGAGAGTGAAACATCGATCAGCTGCCTCCTGCACATCTCCCACTGGGGATGTGCCCGCAACCAAGGCACATGCCCTTGACCGGAATCGAACCCGGGACCCCTTCAGTCCGCAGGCCGACGCTCTATCCACTGAGCCAAACCGGTTTCGGCCCAAGATGATTTTTCATCCACAGAGGTGAAGGGTAAGGAACGAGTAAGTGAAGAAAAGGGGAAGAAAGAGGGTTGGGGGAAGCAGTAAGCCCATCTCCCTTTTCTGTTCTTTCCCTTTCACTTTCCTATACTATCCTTTGCCGGTGTCTTTCTTCCTGCCTCCTCTAGCCTAGAGCTTGCCCATTCCCAAACCATACTTGAAGTTCCAGGCTTTCCCCTTTCTCCCAGCCCCAAACCACATTCCACTATTTTCACCAAAGGGGGTGTCTAAAGAAATAGTTGTGACCCCTCTCTCTTCTTAAAATATTTGTTACAATGAAATTTCAAATTAGACACAAATAGGGGAAATAGCATAATAAATCCTCATGTACCCTTCACTCAGCTTCTTCTGTCAACTCAATTCTCAATCTTATTTCATTTATACCTCTACCCACTTTCCCCAACATATTATTTTGATGCAGATTCTAGACTGGATATCATTTGGTCCATAAATATTTCAGTATGTAGCTCTAAAAGATAAGGGATTATTTTTTAATCAATAAACTTTATTTTTAGAGCATTTTTAGGTTCATAGCAAAATGGAGTGAAAAGTACAGAGAGTTCCATATACTACACACACACACACACACACACACACACACACACACACAGAGCCTTCTGCACTAGCAACATCTCACACCAGAGTGATATATTTGTTATAAATCCATGAACCTACATTGACACATTATAACCCAAAGCCTCTGGTTTACCTTAGGGGTCACACTTGTTGTTATACATTCTATAGATTTGACAAATGTATGATGACATGTATCCACCATTATAGTATTATACCAGAGTAGTTTCACTGCTCTAAAAATCCTTTGTACTCTGCCTTTTTATCCCTCCCTCTCCCCTGACTTATAACAACCACAGATCTTTTTATTGTCTCCATAGTTTTGTCTTTTTCAGAATGTCATATAGTTGGAATCATACATTGTGTAACCTTTTGAGATTGGCTTTTTTTGCTTAGTAATATGCATTTAAGTTTCCTCCACGTCTGCTCATGGCTTGATAGCTCATTTCTTTTTAGGACTAAATTATTCCACTGTGTGAATTGGGTTCCTTTTTCCATCTTTCTGGGCAAGACTGAGAGGGTGTTATAGAGTTTGTGGGAGAAGGGAAATAACTAGGTCTGGGTCTGCCTGCAAGAGTCTGGAGGCAAGGATGTAACTAGCAGAGGTCAGCCCCTCTACCCAGGCTTCCGACATTCAGAGTGACTTCAGGACACCCAGAGATGAAGCCAGCTCTTCCACAGTGGGTGGCACCTCTGTGTGCTCTGGAGAGGAAGCTGGGAACCTTCCCACTGTCGTAGGCCACTTGGGGGGACGTAGGGTAGTGAGGAGGCTCTCAGGGATTACCTGCTCTTTCCACTGAAAATAATCAAAGCGGCTATACATATACCTTGGGGAAAACAGGACGGGGAGAAAGGAGCATCCAATAAGTATCAGGCAGACTTAGCTGAATGATTGAAAAGGCTGCCAGGTCCATGGCTGGGGTCATGAGACCCCCCAATTGCCTCACTGCACTGCCACTTCATTCACCTCCAGCCCTGGGGTATCTTGGGATGTTCTAGTCTGCTCTAGGGAGATCTGTCAGTGCCCTCTTCCCCAAGGCTTCCTCTTAGTCGTAATAAAATATTTTGCATGTGTGAAATGCTTTAAAGTTTTATAAAGTATCTTCCCCACATTCCCTCATTTTAAAAAAAATAAACTATTTCTGCCCTGGCTGGTGTGGCTCAGAAGGTTGAGTGTTGTTCCATGCACCGACAGGTTGCCAGTTCCATTCCCAGTCAGGGCACATACCCAGGTTGCGGGTTCCCTCCTTGATTTGGGTGTGTACAGGAGGCAGTAGATCCATTTTCTCACATTGATATCTCTCTCTCTCTCTCGCTCTCTCTCTCTCTCTCTCTCTTTTCCTCCCTTCCTCTTCTCCCTCCCTCTCTAAATTCATTAAAAACATATCTTTTAAAAAATAGACTATTTCTTAGAGCAGTTTCAAGTTCACAGCAAAATTGAGCTGATATTCCCTCATTTAAAATTATGATTCTCACATCTACCCTACAAATAGGTAAGTGGCTATTATTATCTCCACATTTACATTTAGAATCACACAGTAGCAAATGGAGCATGTTGCTAACTGAGGTCTTTTGATCTCTTAAGCCCCAGGCACTTTCTCTTGGTTCTTACAGAGCGAATTCTGAATCTTTCCTTCCCACAAGCTTAGAAACCCCAGGCCATCTCTCATTCCCAGAAGTTAGAAGCAAGTTTGAGAAGTTCCCCCCTCTTCCCCCTTCACTGCAGAGACCTATGCAAGCCCATCTGGGTCCCTGATGGAAGGTGCACCCTCTTAGTCTCTGGCAAAGGCACCAAGACCCAGAACTTGTACAAGGCCCTGATAAGCTTCTTAGAAGGGGTATTAGCAGGGATTGGATATTCTTCCCTGAGATGCCCTTCACTCCCGACCCTGTCTTCAACTAGGATTCCATAAGAGAGCTGGGGGCAGGAGAATGGGGTAGTCCTTGCTGTCTAGCTTCAGACCCACTCTTTGAGATCCTGGATTTTGACAAGTTTCCAGAACGGAGAAGACACCCAGATGTCCAGGTTTGAAGGTAGGTGATTAAGTAGGATGGTGCCGGCTCAACTCTGTTATATAACACAGGCATATCAGAAAGAGGGAGACCCTCCGAAGCTTCTGTAGGAGATTCAAAGTGTTGAATTTATGGTAAGGGACAGGGTGGACAGGGAGATGGCGGGAAGATAATTATAGGAATCTAGAACAAAGAAGGAGAATCACTAATTTTGTAATTCTTTTTTCGTCCCTCTTGTGCTTGTTAAGACGATTGCATTTGCATCTCTAGTGTGGTAGCCGGAAAGACGGGCACTAGAAGGCTCCTTTGCACTGCTACTCACTAGCTGTGTGACACTGAGCAAGTCACATCTCTCTGGACCTCAGTTTCTTTTTTTTTTTAAATTTATTGATTTGAGAGAAAGAAACATCGATTTGTTGTTCCCTTTATTTATGCATTCTCTGGTTGATTCTTTTATGTGCTCTGATCAGGGATGGGACCCACAACCTTAATCAACTGAGCAACCAGGTCAGGGCTGGATCTCAGTTTCTTCATGTCTCAAATGGGGAGTTATACTAAACTGTGTTAGTAACTTCTACCTTTAACCACCTAAGGTTCTATGGGTTACTCATCTCCCTTCCAATAGATTACCTCATATGCAAAACTGATCATTTCTAGGTACTATTTTGTAATAATCTGAGGACATTGATTGGAGATTTAACAAATATTTACTTGGATTGGGCCTCAGTGCCCTTGATAAATTGAGGATTCTCTGAGGGTCTTTCATGTTCTTTCTTCCTGCGTCCTTATGTAAAATAGCCCTTATGGAGCACTTGATTCTATACAGTGCTTTTCACTGACCTTATGTATTTTACTCTCCCAACATTCCTATGACTAGGTATTGTTATTACTATTTACATAGCTAGATACTATTATTACTATTGTCATTTCTATTCCATTGAATGAAATAATTTAAATTTAACAGATACTATCTATATAATAAAAAGTTAACTGGTTAAACTGAACAGTAAGTTATACTGACCCCTGGCCTTTAGTTTCCCTTCTCCAGATGTCCTTCCAGAGATCATCTTTGCATGAACTATGCATATATATTATGCCCATTTCACAGATGAGGCCCTGAGGCTCAGCTCGTCCAGGGTGACACAGATGTCAAGCAGCAGAGCTGGGAATCCAGGTCTTTGACTCCACTCTCCATATTCCTCCTGCCACATTACACTGTCTGAGAACCTTCATGACATTAACTTTTTATTTTACTTTCTTTTTTAATTCTTTATTGTTGAAAGTAACATGACATTAACTTTTACGCTTTATCCCCCTGACGATATGGTGGAATTGTTTTAAGTAAGTCTGAAAAAAAAAAAACACCTAAAAAAAAACCCATGCAGAGTTGTCATTCTTCCACTGCTGCCTCTTTTTGTCCAGAGCTTAAAACCACGTCTTTTTACTTCCCTTGCGCCTTTAATAAGGTGAGATCTGTGGCCTGGGGCACCAACTACATATGAGCTCCCAGCATTTCAGGCTCGCACTTAGGAGGGCTGCCAGACCTTGGGTGGACCCAGCTCAGAACCAGCTCCGGCTGCTGGCATGCCTGCACGGCACCGAGGATGTCTAGATGCTCTTTTCCCCCCAAGCAGGCACTGCCCCCTTGAGCAGGGGGCAGAGGTAATTTTGTTCTAACAGAAACAACTGTCTTCCACCACAGTGGCCCCTGAATGAAGTGATACTCTTTCCAGAGAGGACCCCATCATTCCTCTTAGGGACAGATAACCTCTCTTATTTAATTTCTCCCTCTCTCTAGGTTTGTGGATATCTCTTAGCTGGGCTTCATGGAGAAATCTTCCCTGATCACCAACCTGAATCCCAGAACAACCCCCATCTTTCAGTGAACAGAATGAGAGGCCTTCCGTAACCTGGCATAACTGGCCATCATGGGGAAGTTGATCAGGATGGGGATGCAGGAAAGGCGGTTACTCCTGCCAAAACGGCTTCAATGGAGTCGCTTCCTCTTCCTACTGGGAATGTTGATCATCGGTTCCACCTACCAGCACCTGAGGAGCCCTCTGGGCCTCCCCTCACTGTGGGCAGCAGTCTCTTCCCAATACCCTGTAAAGCTGGCCAGCCGGGACCTTCCCAGCAACGAGATGATGACGGTGAGCAGTGACCCTCCAAGGGCTAGTTCTGAAATGGAGGGTGAGACACTGGAACCCCAGGGCACAGTGGGCAAGGAGGAAGCAACAGCTGGCATAACAATGGAGAACACTCTCGATACACCCAGAAGAATAGCCAACATCCCTCCCACAGAACCTAAGAATAACTACAGCCCAACAGCAGCAGGCACAGACAGAACGAAGGAAAACACCCCAACCAGACCAAGTGGAGTACTGAATCACTACACCCCAACTTCAAGCATATCAACAATAAAGAATTATACCCCAGCAACGCCCAGGGGAGAAATGAAGCACTACCCCCCAACTCGAGCCAGGGGAAAGGTGAAAAAATACACCCAATCCCCACATGGTAGAATAGTAAACTCTGCCCCATCCACATTCATGACAATGACAAGAAGCCATGGGATCACTCCCAGAACGACAGTGAAAGACATTGAAACTGTGGCAACCTACAAAATATTGGAGACCAGCCCCTTCAAGGGAGTCGTGGAGGAAACCACCCCAACTACTAAGAGAATAACTGATAAGACTCCAACTTTCCTGATAAATGACATAGAAACAAACATCTTGACTTCTCCTAGGAGTGCAGTGGATAAGAACACGCTGACTACCCCCAGAAGAGTGGACAATAACAGCTCAACCAATCCTCGGAGGTTAGTGGGAAAGAGCAACCTGACGACTTTCCAGGGAATAGTTTTAGAGCACACTGCAGCCACCTCTGATGGGCAAGTGACAGTTAGCACCAGGGTTAGGAATCCCTCGTCCAGAACCAGTGCACCAACCACTGGATTATCCTTAGCCACCTTCTGGGGGCTGGCGAAGAAACCTCCCAGAGCACCAAGCACCTCAGTAACCCTCAGCATCAGGGCAAATCCAACCACCCAGGTTCGTCACTGTGTGGAGCCAGCTCCAGCCATGCCCACTACCCCCTCCCCGAGCCTGACAACGGCCCCGCTCCCAGAGGCACCCAGCCCCAGTCCCTCGGCGCTGCCCCCCAGCTGGCCAGACCACCCTAAGGCAGAGTACCCCCCAGACCTGTTCAGCGTGGAGGAGCGGAGGCAGGGCTGGGTAGTCCTGCACATCGTTGGCATGATGTACGTGTTTGTGGCCTTGGCCATCGTGTGTGATGAGTACTTTGTCCCAGCCCTGGGTGTCATCACAGACAAGCTGCAGATCTCTGAGGATGTGGCTGGTGCCACATTCATGGCTGCTGGAGGCTCTGCCCCCGAGCTCTTCACCTCCCTCATCGGCGTCTTCATCTCCCACAGCAATGTGGGCATCGGCACAATTGTGGGCTCTGCTGTGTTCAACATCCTCTTTGTCATCGGCACCTGTGCCCTATTCTCCCGGGAGATCCTCCACCTCACTTGGTGGCCCTTGTTCCGTGACGTCTCCTTCTACATCCTTGACCTGATGATGCTCATTCTCTTCTTCCTGGACAGCCTCATTGTCTGGTGGGAGAGCCTGCTGCTGCTGCTGGCCTATGCCTCCTATGTGTTCACCATGAAGTGGAACAAGAAGCTTGAGCTCTGGGTGAAGGAGCAGCTCAGCAGGTGGCCAGTGGCCAAGGTCATGGCCCTCGGGGACTTCAGCAAGGTGAGAACAGGGTAGCTCGGGTTTTTCTAGCCACTTTGGGGCAGAAGGGTGAGGGGAGGCTGGGACTAAAGAATGGAAAGTGCTGGGTCAGACTTCAAGAGATGGGTGCTCTGGTTCCCTTGCTTTTCATTCAACTTTTAGAGGCCTGTTCTCTGCCAGGCACTATTCTGGGGTCTTTGTCCAGAGTGACCTTGGGTCACCCCCCCTCATCCTGTAAAATGGTTATTACTATGATCCCCCATTGGTAGGAGGAGGAACTGAGGCCTAATGGAATCAAACCACTTGTTCAATGTCACACAGCAAATAGGGGGTGGAGTCAGGATTTGAACCATGTTGTCTGGCTGGGTCTTTGGAAATGATATTTGAGCTGGGCTTTGGAAAATGTCCAAGGAGATATCAGGCAGGGAAAAATGATAATCTCTTTCATGTGCATGGTGTTTAGGGTTTATCTAGTACTTAGTTTCATTTAATCTTATTTGTTCACATTCCAGACTTGGAGGGTCTGGTGTCTTGGATGGGGTCCGAGAAAGAAGGGGGAGGCTGTTTTTGGTTTTGTTCTGTTTTTATTTTTATTTTTTAAAATATATTTTTATTGATTTTTTACAGAGAGGAAGGGAGAGAGATAGAGAGTTAGAAACATCGATGAGAGAGAAACATTGATCTGCTGCCTCCTGCACATCTCCTACTGGGGATGTGTCCGGTACATGCCCTTGACTGGAATTGAACCTGGGACCTTTCAGTCCGCAGGCGACGCTCTATCCACTGAGCCAAACTGGTTTCGGCTGTTTTGTTTTTAAAATAGTGAAGATGAGAGCTCCATTCATCCACTGACAAGCCAACGCTAGGTGTCGAGCCCTCTCTCTGTGCTGACTGGAGACCAGATACCAGGAGTGCTAACCCGGGGGCTTTCTCCTGTTCCTTTCCAAGAAGTTCTCTGTCCCCGTGAGAAGCCTTCCTACTGAATCCATTGCATGATTCAATAACCTGGAAGATTGACTTGGGGGAGTGATTTCTGAAAATTCATCTCAAAGATGTTTATTCAGTGAGACTCCAAAGTGAGGGCACCTTAGGGAACACAGACCCCTTTATCTCCTGCTCCTAAAGCTAGAGTTTGGGCAAAGGTTGGCTCAGAGCCTGCCTGCGTCAGGTCTCAGTGAAGCCACTGGTGCGAGCAGAATTTTGCGTGCAAAGAGTGGAAGGACTTAGCTACTTAATCCAGAGTAGTTTTGATGAGTGGGCAGGATGGAGACAAAACTCAGCAACATGTCTGGGAGATACATGATGCAAAGGAGATAAAATGTACTTTCTTTAGGATTTTTCAGATAATGTGGTGTTCTGGCCGGAGCTCGGAACTGAGAGTTAGGAAACTTGGGTTCTAATCTGATTCTGCCTCTAACTAATTATGTGACCTTGGACAGGTCCCTTCATTTCTTTGGGGGAAAATGAGAAAGTCAAGCTAATCACCAAAAGGTCCTGTTTAGTTATAATATTCATTGATAATGTCCTGTGTGCAAGTGAATTCAGTTCTGGCAGGCTTCAGCACAATGGTTATTTGTCTGATCTGATCAACTGAGCTCCAGTTGCCTTATTTGAAGATTGCCCAAAAAGGAGAAATGTTCTGCCCAAGGTCATACAGCTGGCAGTTACCAGAGCTGGGATCCAGTATCCTAACCTCCCATTTGGCACTATTTCCCACTATTTTCTCTGTTTCATGAAGCCAGAGACTTAAAAAAAGAAGGGGAGGCTCACAGTGTCCCGTCACTCACTATGAAGAAGCAGGGCCTGCCTCCAATGCAGTTCTCAGGATTGGCTCTGCTGGGGGTGGCCATGGAGCCTGGTACTCTCCTCTGAGGAAAGTATTTACTGCCTGGTAGACACCAGGCCAGCAGATTTCAAAAGGCCTTCGGCTTGCCTCCCAGTCCTTCATAGTAATTCTGTTTTTATTTAAACTCTGCAAATTCTGAACCTGTCATTTTGTCAGAGCTAGACCATCAAAGCAAAGCTTGCCAATGACGTGAAGCATAATCATGATTTCAAAAGAGAATTTGTAACCTCCTCCTGAGACTTTTCAAAGGCTTCATCGCAGCTGTTTGCCAACCAGTGAGAGTGGTGCTGTTACAACTCTGTTCTTAGCTATTTGTCAAAACAGATCCAGTTTATGATTTTTAATGAATAGAATGATGTTTTTAAAAGCAGGTTGAATGACTGGCTATATTTGAAAGCAAATCTATATTTATTTAAAATTAAAAACCTATAGCTTAGACTTCCCAGCACTAACTACTGCCTGCTAAAAATTAGTCCAAATAACTCAAGAATTATATCTGTTTTGAGATGGTTTTTAAAACTGTGTGGATTTGGAGTTTCACCCCAGGTTTCTTCTAGCCAGAGAAAGAAGGAATTGACTTTGTTTGTATTATTATGTCTGTGTTTGGCTGGCCAAGACCTATGGTCTGGTTAGAGAGAGATCAGCTATCCTGGATTTCACTGACAGCTAGGGAGACACCATTCTATTTTGAATTCATGAAGCAATTCTCTGAAAATCCAGTCTTTGTTCTGGAATTCATTTTGATGGTTTATGCAGGCATATGTACCGTATTTGCCGGCGTATAAGACGACTGGGCGTATAAGACGACCCCCTAACATTTCCACTCAAAATACAGAGTTTGTTATATACTCGCCGTATAAGACTACCCCCTCTTCCGCACACCTTCCACACACCAAATAAAAGGTAAAACAATATCAGATTTGATTTTAACATTTTAATTTATATTCAAATGCTTATGACATGCAGGAAAACTGTCACAAGGCTGTATGTAATCAAACATATACATAAAACAGTGCAAGTTTATTACCGGTAAACATACCGGTAATTCACTAAAGAAAACACACTCTATAGACTGGTACCGTAGATGCTTCTCAGGAACACAGGCAAGCAGCCCACAACCTAGAGGGACTGTCAATGATAGAAGAAAGAT